TAGGTGGGGGGGGGGGAGAGGGGTTTGGAGACTAAAAAAGAAAGGGGAACTTATGGCCGTTGATCAAAACGATCAACGACCTGGATCAAAGGGGAGCCGGGTGGGTTTTTTAATCTGGTCAGGGGTCGGGTAATTTAGGGATTGGGCCGGTTTAATTTGGGGCAGAATAATTGAAAGAAAATGGGGGCTGTAATTGAAATAGAAATGGGCTAAATATTAAATAGCCAATTTTTCCCTTTTATTTTATAAAAATAGTGAAAAATNAAAATAGTGAAAAATAATTTTAAAAGCAAATTAAAAGTACTGAGCTAATTAATAATACATAAATATTAATTTAAAAATACTGGAGCTAATATTACAATTATAAAATACTATTAATCGTAAAATAGGCTATAATTGCAATTATATGCAATTTAGCTTTAAAAATACCAAATAAATTTGTAAAAATATACAAAAATCACCTTAATTATATTTTGGTGTAAATATGAGAATAAAATAAGTTATTCACAAAAAGAATAGTTTTGGGGAATAATTACTGATTTTTGTACTGCTAAAATGGACAATAAATTAATTTTAAAATCTTTACAAATTAGAAAAATATACCAAAACTCTTGGACATGCTTATATATGTATGTACATGCTATTTTGAAAGTATTTTGTATATAAAAATATCTAGAGAAAAATTGGGTATCAACATATACCATTAATAATATCTCAAAAAAAAAAAAAATTAAATGAATTGAATATCTAATGGTCATGGAAGATAAGAAGGGAGACTTTCTAATTTCCTCGGGAAAGGCCAATAACTTTGGCATAGATGGCCACGTCCCAAGTAGTGTCCTCTAAAGTCATAACGTGTTTCGCTCACAGAGCGCCAACCCCCCATGCAATCAAAAAAGTCCCATAGCTCCGTTTCCCCACTATAAACCTTACTCTTTCGACTTTCGTCTTCTCTTTCTATATAAGACTGCGAGTTGTTCTTCAACCAAACAGTCACTAATATAATTCTGCAGAACACGTTTACCTCTTTTGAGCTTTAACTATGGAGGGACAGCAACGTAGTGGCCATGCTTATGAAGATGTTACTCACCCAACCGGGTTGCACTCAGGTGATGATTTTGAGAATTTATAAATTTTTTAAAATAGAATTTACATATTTATATATAAAAAGTATTAAAAGTTACAATATTTATGGATTCAAAATATTTAAGGCGTATGTAAAAATTGTAATGAAGAAAAATTTCTTTGACTCTCTGGATGGAATTTATCGGACAGAGGGAATAATACTCTAAAATCTGTAACAACTTATCCCCAGTTAATTTCTTTTTATTTGTCTCGTGACTTGTGATATATTGCAGGGGATGAAAGACATGGTCAAAATCCGGTTCACGGCCAAGGAAAAGTAGAAGATGAAGGAGCGCAGGAAACCAAAATAGGACTACCAACAGTGTTAGACGATGACCCTAATGCACCAAAAGATCGTCCTGAGGACAAAACTTCTTCTAATTATCAGAGCAAAGTCACTGATACTACAGGCGCCAGTAAGTTTCTCGTTGACTGATCTTAAATTTGGTAGTTCACTAATTCCTATATCATGTCGCAGTCTACACGTTTTCAGGAATTTGAAATAGAGTTTCTTTAGAAACTTTACAATATCATGTCACATAGTAATCTGCTTCGTTTGACTAGTTTATGGGGCACAAAGTCTGTGAAAGAAAGGGAACTTTTGAAATTTTATAAGTCCTAGACATTTGTGTCACTATAATTTATTTTGTTAATGATTAGCTGATAATTCTAAACTAAAATTATTTCCAAGTACATAAAAGTGACAATTCTTTTTTAGACCGACTAAAAAGTGAATTGAGAGAGGTAGGGCGGAGGCCGGAGGGAATGTTTTATGGAGAGTCTGCCTTTGGATTACCTAAAAGTTGAATTTTTTATAGAAATATTATGCGTGTGTAACAACAGATAAGGAGGAGGCGGGAACTACACCACTAGTTCAGTCATTCGAGAAAATGAGCGTCAATGAAGGAATAAGGGCAGAGAAAGGAGCAGGGGAAGTTGGCGGTACAGAAGAAGAGGGGAAGAGTAAAGCAACAACAGATAAAGGAGTGTCAATGAAGAAGTACTTGGCAGAGAAATTTAAGCCAGGAGAGGAAGATAAGGCACTTTCTGAGGTGATAGCAGGCACACTTTCAAAACACAAGGATAAAACAGAGGGACGAGAGGAGGAAAAGCCAACAGGGAAGGTTAAGGAATCAGAGGAAGTAACCAAACTAACAGGACCTACAGATGAACAAGGGGTTGCTGCTGCGGCTACACACAGTGAAGGTTCAGGAAAGAGTATTGTAGGTAGGATTAAAGGTGCTGCAAGTTCGTGGTTTGGCAAAGGTACTGGAAAATCAGCAGCACAGAGCCCTACCGTCTCAGATACTAATTAAGTGGTTTTTATGTTTGCTACTGATCCCTCCTCTTTTCAAACAAAAGATGTTGTATATGCTGGTTGCGTCTTTCTTTGTTTGGTATTCTGTTTGTTTGAGCACGTCTAATCAGTTGTAATTAGATAATGAGATCTGATGTTGTTCTGGACTGGATTGAGTCGGCTATGTGCATTTATCTCTTTTGTATATTCGCTTTTTATGAATTATGTCATAATGATCTTGTTTGGCCGTTTCTATATGAACCAAGAGTAATAGAGTATGTAGTCCGGCTGACTGACTGGTTTTACAATATAGAAAATGGATGAAAAATTGTAGCTAGCAATCAAGGGAATGAATCGCATCAGCCATGTCATTTTTGGTAGAATTTTTAGCTAATTATGATCATTTTTGGTAGAACTTTTAGCTAATTAAACTTGAGGAACCCTTAATTCTAACTTTTATAAATCTAAAAGTTAGATTCATTAGTTATCCATTTTCTAAGTGGATTTAATTTGAATTTTTACAAATATAAAAGTTAAATTCATTAGTTATTTATTTTCTAAGTGGATAATATGGTTTATATTTATATTTAATCAAACAGGTAGTTGAATAGTAGATTCAATAAGTTATTCAGTGAAATGAATCGAATTGACAAACACACTAGTATATTGTTGAAACACACGGACTACACTGTAAAGTACATAGTATTACATCACAATGCACAGATATATGAAATCCATACAGGGCTATTTACTTATCTAAAATTGTTGACCGAAGGAACTTACCTAAGCATAGCTCGCTTTCTCTCAAATACAAATGCCGATAGAGGAATTCCTCATATGAGTGAAAACTTGCTAAAAGAACCTTCCATTAATCTTTGAAGGTCTTTGCCCTGCTTATGGTATCAGTCCTGCAGCCTATTAGAACTTTGTGTTTTTATTGATCGAGTGTGTGATTCGAACACAAACAAGAGATAATTAAATAAATTAAATGGAAATAATACGACACTAGAGTTCAACTGCGTTGAAAGGTGGCTGGAGTAGGTAATTAATTAAGCTGAGATTCAAAGTGCTCGTGACTTTATAATGTCAAAGCTCATTTCACTGGGATCCGTTGCTTGCAATTCGACTTGAATTCCATCAAGTTCTCTCTTGAATCTATCCTTTGAGCTCGCATATACCATCTTCATCCTCACCTTTGATGTGTCAGGTGACCTAAAATCCAGAGAGAAGCTAATTAATTATGGCAGGTGATATATATATTGCTAGAAACAGGTTAAAACAATGCGGGTGATGTCAAATTTGAGTTAGCTAAATAATTATATGGTACCAAGCAATGAAGAAAATCTTGCTTTTCTGGCAATTTTCAGTAGTTATGAAGTCGAAATCAAAGACAGCATAGCGGCACTCATCGGCAGGCAGAGAGTTAGTGAAATCGTCATAGTTTTCTTCAGGATTTCCAAGCTTCTCCACAACCACTTGTTGGCCTTCAATCTTGAATACTATGAACCTGTAGTTTCTCTTTGCTTTTAATTCCAAGAACTTCAGCTTACACTCGTCTAGCACAGCCATTCCAGACGCAGCATTTGCCTGCCCAACAAAAAGTTAATGACATGAAGAAAAATGAAAAGAGAAAAAACAAGAGCATCCCGTAGGGTCCTGGGAAGGGCCACACCCATATTCCCTCGTGCAGTAAATTTTAGCTAAAGTAAATAAATGCTTATACCATGTGTGCATAAATTAAAAAAAAAAAACAAGCAATAAGCGTAGCATAGCAAATCCATTAAAACCAAACAAGGGCCAATAGTTCCCTTTTTCAAGACCAGAAATGTGGCAAATGGATAATAAAAGGACATGTCTTTTTCCTCTGCTTTAATCACAGCATTCTCTTTTAGATTATCTCCTTCCAAATTTCGAGCTCCAAAATGCAGCTTTTAGAAATATCACACTGGGCATTATATAATACTAGAAGCTTTTTTACGCAGAAGATGATCAAAGCACTAGTTGGGAACATTTTAAATGCAACATCATCAACATCGCGAAAGCAAAAGAAAACAAATATATGCTGTATAATGTATCCAAATTAAAAGGGTCTTGAAAAGGTAAAAGCCGAGAGAGGAAGAAGAATACCATGATGTCGTGCAATGAGGAAGTAAATTAAGGATCTCTACAAATTGGATAGGAAAAAAGGGAAGGAAAAATGGAGAGGATTGAGTTGTATGTAAATGGATAGAGATCCTTGAATTCGTAAGATTGAAGACAATAGCAGCTTTATAAAACAAGAGAGGATTGCGGAGAATAAGAGAATTTTGTGGGACAAAATAAGGGTTCAGACTTTTTTAAAAGTTTTTTAGAGGTTCAACATGTCCACGACCACTCTTCCATCCTCATGCCTGCCGTTGAAGTTATGCTGGACATGACGCCCCTTCATGGGCTCCAAACATTCATTATATACTTATTGTATATTGAATTTCATCTTTAAAGATATCTTCATTGTAATGTAATTTGATTAGGCATGAAATCTGTACACAAACACTTTTTAAACTTGTGGTTTAGAATAAGCAAACAGATATTTGCCTGTTTATTTTTAATCATCTCATTAAAGTTAAAATATGAATGAAAAAATTATTTTTAAATATAAAAAGAGTATCATTCTTTTTAGGACATATTGAAGAGGAAAGTGCATCACAGAAATTGGAAAAAAAAAAAAACTACTTATTTATAATATTTTAATAGAATCCAACTTCACCGGCATCACCTAGATCTAGGACCATAATTTTACCAAAAATTCTCTCCCTCTTGGCTCTTCTTCGTCCGCTACAATTTTTTTTTTTTGGTTAACTGGATGATTATATATATAAATTACCAACTACAGCTAACCAAGTGCATTGTTTTCAGGGGGTAGTTTATTAACCCTTGAGCTGTGATCAAAAGTATTAATATTACAATCCAAAAAATTTCTAAGAAAAACAGTTCCAAAAATGTATGCCCAAAAAACTTCATTTGCAAACACCGGAGAAACCGTAATAGTTCTTGTTCTACCAAAAATATCTTTGTTTGCACGCTCCTTTGCCATCAGATCAGCTACTTTGTTCATCTCCCTGTAGTTGTGCTTCACCACCACGTCTCTTCATCTTAGGATGATACCTGTATTAAAAAATGATTGAGTCAATGACGCGGTTACCCGAGTAAAGCATTCTTATTACCTATGTTGAATCTGTGTTGATTTCATGGGGGCATGAATCCTCTTTGCTCAGCAATTTGTAATCCCTGCAGCACTGCAAGAAGTTTAGCTTGTGTGTTTGTGGTGTGAGGCAGACTTCCCATAAATCCAAGCACCCAGTTGCAGCTGGAATTTCTGAAGACTCCTCCCGCACCTCCCTTCCCAGAATTCCCTAAATCTGCCCCGACGGTGTTGAGTTTGTAGTGGGTATTAGGTGGTGCAACCCATTTGACCCAGATGATCTTCTCTTTCGTGGGTGTTTGGTCAACTGAGATAGTGATATAGTCAGTTGCCTTAGCCAAAAAAACTGAAGTAGGGACACTATCCTTTTTTGTTGTTGAAGAGGTTATTATTCCTAGTAATACAGAACTGCCAGAAGCTAAAGGGAAAGAGGTCTTCCCAACTAAGAATGTTGCTAAATGGTTTTCTTCTAAGGGGACCAAGTGATAGACTAGGACCTACTAGTGAATGTAGGGGGTTGAGTTTAGGCTGTTGTGGTGCTTTTTGAGGTTAACTGTTGCCAGAATGATTTTGCATTAGGGCACACAAAGAAGATGTGGGCAGAGATCTCAAAAGCATTAGAGCAGAAGCAGCACATCGGGTTACAATGAACCCCAATTTTATGGAAATAGGCCCATGTGAGAAGCCTTTCATGGTATAAGAGCCATATGAAGGTTTTGATCTTGTTAGGGACTTTCAATTTCTAGATCCACATATATCTATTGTTATCCTCTTCCACCTTCTTGGGAGTTATGTTAGTAAGGAGGCTATGGGCTGATTTAGTGTTGAAGAGGAATTTGCTAGCGTTTCCCCAGATCATCTTGTCCTCCTTTATGAGATTGGGTGGAATGAAAATAGTTGAGAGAAGGTCTCTAATGTTAGGAGGGATGCTAAAGGATATGGAGGAGGTGTCCCAAGACCCATTGTTATAGATGGTAGCTAGTTTGGCTGAAAGGTCAGTTTGGGTGAGAGGACCCTCAATCATGTTCCTGATTGGCGGCGATTGGGGATCCAGGAGTCATTTATGAAGCTGACTATGTCCCCTTTGTACACCACCCATCTAATGGCTTTCCTGCAGTTTTTCCAGCCTTTTAGAATGCACTGCCATGTAGTGGATTTGGTTTTTTTTTCTTGGGAGGGGGGTGTCTCCAATTACAGTGCTTGGCGATCAGGGTCTTTGCCTATAGAGAGGAAGTGTTATGAAAGAGTCTCCATGCAAGGCCCGAATAAATAGATTTGTTTTTAAATTCAGCTCTTTGTATTCCCAACCTTCCCTGGTTTTTAGGCTTGGTAACAGTGTCCCAGCCTACTAGGTGCATTTTTTTCTTGTTTGATGTAGTACCCCAGATGAAGTTTCTCTAAATTTTATCAATTTTCTTTGTGGTTTTTTAGGGGAGCTTGATGAATTGCTTGACATGGCTTGGTATGCTATTCAGAGAGGCTTTTGCTAGGGTAGTTCTCCCAGTCATGTTTAGAAAACTTATTTTCCAACCAGCCAGTTTGGAGTGCATGTTGTCATGATGAATTAAAAATCACTATTAACTGGTCCTTTATGAAAGATAGGGAATCCCGGATATTTGCCAAAGGTGGATGAGGCTTGGATGGATAAGCTGTTAGAGTTAGCGTCCATCTGGTGGGGTTGGCAATTAGCAGAGAAGAAGACTCTTAACTTTGTAATTTTTTTGGTCTGTAGCCTGATTAAAAGAGTTTAAAGTGTTGATGATTGTGGAGCAATTTGTTTTGTTAGCTCTGAAAAATCAGCAAAGAACATATGAGAGATCTTTGGTCCAGAACTGCTGATGCTGATTGGGCACCACTCCTTATACTGGTTACCTTTCTTATGCCTCTTGATGGTTTGAAGAGGGTGTTTGGTCCCTATTCACTAGAGTTGAGATGGAGGAGCTTACACAGGACATGATGAGATTGATAATGTCAGTAGAGAAGCTGAAAGCATGGAGAGTGTCCCTGATGAAGGACCACTCAATCCAATCAAAAGCCTTTTCCAAGTCAATCTTT